CTGAAATTAACCATAATTAAAATGCACTGATTATAATGTAATTAAGATAGTACAACAGGCTGAGGAGTGAGGTAGAAATATTTTTAAATGTTCACACATCACCTGTGTCTGAAAAAGTACATGGGAAACAATTTGGAGCTCAATATTACTCAAAGGCAGGACTGAATGCATGTTTGAGTCTCTCAAATCCCGTCATACTAGACTTACACACAACAATTAAAGAACAAATAAGGAAATTCCACACTTCAAGGCTTATAGAATAAATAAAACTTATCTTTTGTTCTCAACAGCAGTAATTCCTGGTTCCGTGTCCATGAACCTGTAGGAGTCCAGAGATTAAGCGCCTCTGACAGCTCTTTGTCTTGCTTATCCATTTTGGTCTCATGTTTGTCTTCCATTTTGTTCTGAAAATCAAAATTCTTAAGGGGGAACTCTTCTGTTCCTCAATGACATTACAACAATTGAGCTTTGGTTCAACTGGAATATGCTCAATGGCAAAGCTCAGGGAACTGAACTGCTATATATAAACGTAGCTTACCTTCTGTGCTTTGGATATTGGAACTTCTTTTTTTAATGAGTAATATCCTTTTTTTTTTTCATTATAACTGGGATTTTAGTTCTAAGGGGAAATCACGTAAAAAGTAGGTTACCATATATCGTTGTTCATGCAGACTATATAGAATCACCAATCTTATTCTCTAAATATGCAATCAAAATTTTCTAATTTTAGTATTCAAAAATCATTTTCTTGATACAATTTTTATTTTATATATTACCATAAATTTTGTTTTTAGGTGTGTCTTCTTAACATAGGTTGTTGAATTAATTCATCTGCCAAAGTTAAAATCTATGTGGTCTGCATTTCAAAATCGACCAATGATTTCCTAATTGCATGATTGACCCTAATTATATCAGAGAGTGTCTCAAAGCCCTAAATCCACTTATAGCCTCTTAATTTAACAGTATATATATAGCACAAAGTACTTTGAAGGCAAAGGTATGAGGGGGTTTTGTAAAATTCAAGCCACAAACTGATACAATCTAAAGAAACTACAATAATGTCTATAGATTTGAAGTACAGTCATCTCTTTGCATCCACAAGGGATTGGTACAAAAATTCTCAAATGCTCAAGTCCCTTATATAAAATGGCAATTAATTTGCATATAGCCTACACACATTCTCACATATACTTTAAATCATCTCTCGATTACTTATATCTAACACAATGTAAATGCTATATAAATAGTTATTAAGCTGTATTTTTTGAATTTATCTTATTTTGATTGAGCTTTCCCCCCAAACATTTTCCATCCACAGTGGTTGAATCTGAAGCTACAGAACCCATAAATACGGAGGGCCAACTGAATACTCATTCTCAGATTTGCTATTTTAAATCTTCCTTTTACAAATGTCGGCAGATTATATAAACAATTGCCCTGTATTCTTCAAAAATATCAATGTCATGAAAGATCAAAAAAGGACAAGTTGATGAAATTTTCCAGATTAAAGCAGACTAAAAGGATTAAAAATTAAATAAGAGACCTAGGAACTGGGATGAAGATGGGAGTGAGAAAAGAAAAAAAAATTTTTTTTTTTTAGACAGTCTCACTCTGTCATGTAGGCTGAAGTGCAGTGGCACAATCTCAGTCCACTGCAACCTCCACCTTCTGGGTTCAAGTGATCTTCCCACCTCAGCCTCCCAAGTAGCTGGGATTACAAGCATGCACCACCATACCCGGCTAATTTTTGTATTTTTAGATGAAATGAGGTTTCATCACGTTGGCCAGGCTGGTCTCAAATTCGTGACCTCAAGTGATTGAGAGGCCCCATCTGGGCCTCTCAAAGTGCTGAGATTACAGGTGTGAGCCAGTGCATCTGATAAAATTTTCAATTAAATTAAATTCCTACTCCTAAAGTGGATACTGGATGGGGAAGAATATTGTTATTAAAAACATTATTGAAGACATTAGCAAAATTTGGATATGTATTCTGGATAATAGCATTGCATCCACATTCAATTTCTTGATTTTGATCATTGTACTGTAGTTATTCTTAAAAATATACATTTGTCTATGTAGATGCATGTAAAAGGTGATGTCATGACTTACTCTCAAATGATTCAGCAAATACATGTGTACATGTCTGTGTGTACATGTATAAACATACACATACATATATGAAGGACAGACACAGGTAACGGGAAATACAGAGAGAGAGAGGGGAAGAAAATGGGCCAAAAAGAACAATTGGTAAATCTAGGTGAAGGATGGAAGAGTGCTCATTGTGCTATTCTTAGCACATTTGAATTTTTCAAAATAAAAAGGAATTTTAAATGTCAGTACAATTGATAGCTAATTCTGATGTTAGAACAACAGTATCAAGATGCTTTCACATGTATCTAAGTTTAAATTTAGACTACTATTTTCATGTTTATAATGAATGTGGTGCATTCTTCCAGTGAAGGAATTAAGCTCTCAAAATACACAGTCAATAATGTAAAGTCAGAGTCCACATCTTGGTGTTATCCACAGAAACACAGAGTTTACCACTGTAACTTCCATCTAGAGAATATCCAGTAGTTGCTTGTTAAGGCCATGCAGTTTTGGGGAACATTGTTGAGGCTATGAAAGATTTTTATAATCACTGCGGCTGATTCCCCAGTTGAGAACAGGAAATTACACAAAATATGGAGAAGTTTTCCTTCTTCCCATTTCATCTACCAGATGGCAGAAGAGAAGCAGACCATCTTTAGGGAATGTTAGCAACCCCGGAGAAAAAAAACCAAAGACACTGTCAATGGAAGTTACCCAAAGACACTGCCATAATGTCCACCAGCTTCCCCTCCACATTGGCTGAGCCTCGCCATCTTGCTGAAAGGCCGAATGGCTTCCTGAGGCTCTAGATAAATCTCCGAGGCAGAAAGCGGAAAAACAGAACTTTCTCCACATGCAATGCTGCCAGCAAGGGGACTGAGCTCACACAAACTATTCACAGCAGCTGCAGCTGAAATCAGGTGAGCCAAGAGATTGTGATTTGGGAAGCCAAAAGTGTCTATAGATTGCTTTCAGGAGGGGATTTCTGACAATACTTCACTGCTCCCCACCCACCTCTATTCATTTGTTCCCCCACAAAAAGGAGGAAGATTGATTGATCCAATATGGGAGATAGTGATCTTTATTGGGCCCTGTTTCACTCGTGGGCTAAGTTGCTGCATCTCAAAAGCAGACACCTCATCAATATTTCCTCTTTTTAACCACTTAAACTCAGGCACAGCTGGACTTCTTACCTGCTTTTTCACTTCTCAGCTTTCTGTCTGCATGTGGCAGGGACACTTGACAAGGTCTACCTGAAGAAACTTTCCAAATTTTCTTTCTGTTCTGTCAAAGTGTAAGGTTAACAAGGCAGATCTGTACCATAGACAAAGATGTTTTTAGTGGGAGGGAGCAAAATCTGAGATCTGTGGTTTTAATGGGTGGACAAAGGACAAAGGAGGGTGACAGGTAACCAGAAGAAGACCAATATAAAGAGCAGGTGTTTAAATTAACAGATGTGGAACAGGAAATAAGTCTGTTTAGTTCTTCTTGCTATTTTTAAGTTCAAAGCATACTGAAATAATGACAAAGAAACAAGAGACTGTTAATATTTATCATGCAGATTTAAAAAACCATCACACAGATGTTTTAAAGGTAAAAAAAGAAAAAAACAGCTAAGTGAGAAATCCGATGGATTAAACAGTAGATTAGACACTGCTGAAGAGTCAGATAGACATCAAAGAACTATCTAAAGAATGCAATCCATAGAGCAAACAATGGAAATTTCGAGAGAGAAGTTAACAGATGTGGGTGGTAGAGGGAAAAGTTTCAGCACATATCTATTCAGTGTCAGAAGGAGAAAACCAAGTGAATGGTGGAGTGGAAATATGTGAGAGATAATGGCTATAATCTTCCAGAATTGGGTAAATTTCATAAAGTGCAATAAAATATTAGCAGCATAAATAAAGAGAAATCTGCACCTAAACACATTTTAGCAACCAAAAAAGAGAAGGTCTTAAAAGCAGCCAGGGAAGAAAGATATATTACCTACAAAGTAATAAAATTCAGACTGATAGCTTATTTCTTCTAAAAACAACGGAAGAGAGAAACAAGTGGAATGGTCTGTTCAAAGAGAAAATACAGGCACCCCTCGGATATATTGCATGTCAACTTCCAGATCAGTTCAATAAAGTGAGTCATATGAACTTTTTGGTTTCTCAGTGTATATAAAAGTTATTCTGAGTTATTTAAGCTTAAGTTATATAGCTGAATAAACTACACTATTTTATACTCTATTAAGTATATAATAGCATTATGTCTAATCATACGTACCTACCTTAATTTAAAAATGCTTGATTGCTAAAAATTGCTAACAATCATCTAAGCCTTCAGCAAGTCATAATCCTTTTATTAGTGGAAGGTCTCACTTCAGTTTTGATGGCTGCAAACTGATCAGAGCGGTGGCTGCTGAAAGTTGGAGTGGCTGTGGCAACTGGAAAAAGTCAAGAATGGAGTTTGCCACAACGATGGACTCTTTCTTGCATGAAAGATGTCTCTGTAGCATTTGATGCTGTTTGATAGCATTTTACCCATAGCAGAACTTCTTTGGAAATTGGAGTCAGTCCTCTCAAACCTGCCACTGCTTTATCAACTAACTTTATGAAATACTCTAAATCTGTTTTTGTCATTTCAACAATGTTCAAAGCACCTTCACCAGGAGCAGATTCCATCTTAAGAAACCATTTCCTTTGCTCATCCATGAGAAGCAACTCCTCATCCGTTCATGTTTTCTCATGAGATTGAAGCAATTCAGTCACATCTTCAGGATCCACTTCTAATTCTAGTTTTCTTGCTGTTTCTACCACATCTGCAGTGACTTCCTCCGATGAAATCTTGAATCCCTCAAAGTCATTCATGAGGGTTGAAAGTAACTCCTTCCAAACTCTTGTTAATGTTGATATTTTCACCTCCTCCCATGAATCGTGATTGTTCTTAATGACATCCAGAATGGTAAATTCTTTCTAGAAGATTTTCAATTTACTTTGCCTATATCCATCAGAAGTATCACTATTTAGAACAGCTATAGCCTTATGAAATGTATTTCTTAAATAACAAGACCTGAAAGTTGAAATAATTCCTTGAGTCATGGGCTACAAAATGCATACTGTGTTAACAGGCATGAAAATAACATTACTCTCTTTACACATCTCCATCAGAGCTCTTGGGTGACTAGGTGCATTGTGAAAGAAATCTTTTTTTTTTTTTTCTGAAAAGTAATTCTCAACAGTGGACTTGAAGTATTTAGTAAGTCATACTGTAAACAGATTTGCTGTCATCCAGGCTTTTTAAAAAAATTCACAGAGCATAGGTAGAGTAGATTAAGCATAACTCTTAAGGATTTTCAGAATGGTCAATTAGCATTGGCTTCAACTTAAAGTCACCAGCTGCATTCATCCTTAACAAAAAAGTCAGCCTGACCTCTGAAATCAGGGTTTGACTTCTCTCTAACTATGAAAGTCCTACATGGTTTTCATCCAATACAAGGATGTTTTGTCTACATTGAAAACCTGTCAGCCCAACATAGTGGCTCATGCCTGTAATATCAGCTCTTTGGAAGGCTGAGGCAGGAGGACTGTTTAAGACTAGCTTGGGCAACATAGCGAGGCCCCATCTCTACAAAACAGTTTTTTTTGTGTTTGAAATTAGCTGAGTGCAATGGCACACCTGTAGTCCTAGCTACCAGGGAGGCTAAGGCAAGAGGATTGCTTGAGCCCAGGAGTTCAAGGCTATGGTGAGTTATGATTGTGTCACTGCATTCCTGCACTCCAGCCTGGGTGACTGAGCAAGATAGTCAAGAAGGAAGGAAGGAAGGAAGGAAGGAAGGAAGGAAGGAAGGAAGGAAGGAAGAAGGGAGGAAGGGAAGGAGGG